TGTAGACTTTAATTCAGATTTCATCACTTTTTACACCAACTTTTCTGTGTGTGTGTGTGTGTGTGTGCAATTCATGAATGTTTTACACATGTATAGATTCATGTGAGTGCTAACTCAAGGCACAGAACTCTTCCATTTCTACAAGGATCCCTAGCACTGGTCCTTTATTATCATGATCAATATTCCTATCTACCCAGGACCAAGAAATTTGTTCTTCACCTCTGTAATTATTACATTTTTAATACACCATCTAAGTACAAAAATACAGTATGTCATATTTTAAGATTAGCTTTCTTCAGCAGCATAATGCCCTTGAGAGTCATTCAAGTTATTGTGTACTAACACTTTATTCCTGACCATTGCTGAATAATATCCCATTGAATGTATATACCACAATTCATTTAATCATTCATATGGAAGAAATTGCTTCCAGATTTAAGTATTAAAAATAAATTTGCAGGCTGGGGATGTAGTGTAGTTGGTACAGTGCTTGCCTCATATGCACAAGACCCTGGGTTTAATCCCCAGCACCCCAAAAATAGTTTAAAAAATTGAAAAATAAATTTTCTATGAACATCAGTAGGCAGAATTTTAATGAATGGAAGTTTCCATTATTTCGTGAGATAAATACCCATACATGTCATTTCTTAGAATAGTTTTATTTGAAATTTCAAATAAATTTCAATAATGATTATCATTGTTTTAATACAAAGTATTCTCCAAAAAAGTTCAAGAGATATTGTAGCAATGATGACAGGTGAAATGATTAGAGTATGAGAGTTGTAACCTGATCAGTGGATTAATCCATTTGATGAGTTGTAATTTGAAAGGAGTATTGTACCAAATGATAACTACAGGCAGATAGTGTGTGTTGGAAGAAGTAGGTCACTGAAAGCATGCCTTTGGGGTTTGTATTTTGTTCCTGGTATCTCAAGGAGCTGAGCAGCTTTTCTCTGCTATGCTTTCCACCATGATGTTCTGCTCCACCTCTAAACCACAGGTCTGTATTCATCACCATGGAATGGACCTCTGAAACCATGAGACCTAAATAAAGTTTTCCCCTCTAGGTTTTTCTTGTCATATATCTTGACCACAGTATGAAACCTGACCAAACAATGGCAAACCCTTCTTTCAACAACTGATAAAAAAAACTCAGTTTCTTCATGTTCTTAACAGCACTGGCTATTATCACTATTGCATATATTACCTGATAAAATGGGTGAATTGCAACATATCATCATGTTTTTACTTATATGCAGTAACAGGCTAATGATGCTAAACATCTTTTCTTGAGTATTATAAAGTGTAAAGTTGGTTAGAATTGGGTAGATTAGGGCAGGTTTATAATTTGGTGTTAGTATGTAAAGCAAGCAAATCCTAACATTGAAACACATAAGCAAACTCTTTAATTAGTACACAGACCTGAATTTCAGTAAAAGATATTTATTGCAACAAATAGTGATTTTTGTTTTCTCTCATAACTGTTTAGAAAAAGAGAATTTTACTTCTCTCTTCTATAAGCCTTGATAAAAATGTAAGCTGAATATAGAAACAAAATAGGCACAAAACGCATTTTTTTATTTTTTAGCATTTTATTGACAGAAATTATAACATTTGTTTTCATCACAGTTTAGCGTATTATAGGACTGAAATCATCCAAAATAACAAGGAAATATACTACTGTTATATACTGGAAATCTTGCTTTGCCACTTATCACAATGTTTATCTATTGAAAACCATTCAAAATTTTAGTTTACTTTTCTGCAAAATAGAGAAAAAAATTCTTGTTACTCACATAGTAAATGTAAAAATCAAATTAAATACTTTAAAATAGGTTCTTTATGTATAAGTGATACAATTTTTATAAATGTATGATATTCTTAACTTTCAGAAGGACTTCCAGTCTGGTACGGGCATAGTGATTAACAGAGACAAAATACATTGAATTGCCGCTTTTTGAACAGATTTTACCACTTACTAGCTAAGCTCTTAATTAAATCTACTTAAGTAGTCCTCATCTACTTAAGCATCAGGTTCCTCACCATAAATAGTGAAGATAACAACCTTGCTCATGAAGGTTGCTATGAAGACTAAACAGAATTTGTGAAGTGCTTCAAATAATTATTGGCATACAATAAATACTTAGAAATTATTAAATTATTAAATCATTTTACTGTGGATATCTTTGAAAAAAGATTTTATATCCCTTGCTTTTGTTAGTAGTTTATAAAACTGAATCTTTCAGTAGATTGTGAATATCATAGTAGTAGTACTAGTCGTATTTAAACAACTCTTCTCAAAGACTTGATTGCATACCAGAACCATTAGATGTTTTATGTATGAATTAATACTGTTACAAATTAATATTGTGAGCTTCATAAAGAGTATCAGGTTTTATCTTTATAGATTTTTGTTAGTATTATCAATAATGCATAATTTACAACTCTAGGGACGTCGCCCTTATTTTTCTTTCTTTTTTTTTTTTGAACTTTTGAAACACAACACGTTTTATTGCAAGTAAAAGAACATGAGAAACTTGAAATAACCATTACTAATCTTCAACTATTATCAAAAATTCTTGCCACTTTCATTTATCATGAGAATAACTACACTCTTTCTTTAACAGTTATTTTCTTTTTTTTTAATCTTTTTAAAAAGATTATTTTTCTTTCTTAATTGCTTTCAGAAGAGTTTTCTTTCACACAATCTGACATTTCCAATTCTTTGCTTAAAGAAACTGACATTTAAATCTGTTCACAGTGTAACTTTGCTCTGTGAACCAATAGAGAAAAAGAAAAGCACAATTTTTAAATAAAAACAAAGTTTTTAGGTCACAGTTTTATCATAGTGCCATTTTAGAGCTAGGACCAAAATTCTTAAAACCTGTATCAGTGTAAATATACAGTTTTGAGGCAGACCTGAATAGTAATTTCAGTGCTATGTTTTATTTTACTCGGTTTAAATGTATTTCCATTCCTTGACTTGGTCTTGGTTTGTTTTACTCTATATATTCCCATGATAATGGTACTTTACCCAATTAATTTTGCTGACTTTTATTTACTTATTTTTTTATCTTTTGTCATGAAATAGTATAAAAGCAAACACTAAATTAGGTTAAAATCAAAAAGAAAATATTCCTGCCATATTTTCTTGCAATGTTAAATTTCTAAGTGGACATTTTTGTGAGGGGAGAATAATAAAAAGCAATGGACAAATTTAAGGGTGCATTTTCATTTGATTTGCCTTCATTAAATTTTTATCTCATATTATCAATTAAGGGGGGCAGATAACTCCATTTAGCCTTCCTCTTTCATAAGTTTTCTTCAGTAAAGAGTAGGAGGACTCTATCCCTCCTGTGGAAATTCTTAAAATAAATTAATTTTGTTTTGCTTTAGTTTCTTTGAGATGGTGAGGAATGAGCACTAACCTAAGTAATAGTCAAACTCTCTAGGTCAATTTTAATACTGATTATTTACTACATTCTGCAGTTGCTGACTCATGCTTTGAAAATTATACCCTAAATAGTAAAAGTTGAATACTTTTTCCTCCTGGAGATTGTGACATAAAGAAGAATTGAAAAAAATATTTGTAGTTTATTATTATTTATTGCACAGAATCAGAAAAGCAGCATTACCACATACCATGGAAGCAGTTTCATAGAGAATCAGGATGCTGGATCTTTATATAACCTCAGTCCCCTTAAGGGAAATTTACAATTAGTGAAATTAAAAAAATAACATGTCACACTCTTGAATAAACTCATAAGATAATGAAATTCTACCTAAATATGAGTGGAAGAGGCAAGACAATAAGATAAAAATGATATGAACTTCTACGTCTCACACACACACACACACACACACACGCACAGGCACACAAAAAGCTGCCAAGTCCTACCAAAAAGCTTTAGAGAGTCACTTAGTTATAAGATATTGGACTAAATTGTAGAGAAATTAGTTTGGAGCTGACAACAAGAATCAGACCTGAACTGTCATTTAGCTAGGAATTCATGGTCCCTCTCACTTCAAGCCCTTGGAAAGCATCTTTTCACTGCTGATTCATTTGCTATTAAATTTTTAGAATATCAAACAAATCCCACTTTTTTTGTTGGAAAATATGTTTGAACACTCCAGTCCAGAGGAAGTTATCCTCTTTTCAAATTTGATAACATTTGAAGATTGAAACAATTTAGTATATGAAATGTTTTATAATTTTTAATTTCATTGTTCCTGAATGGTTTCAAGTGAACCTTGTATTTTCCTAAAGAAGGAAAAAGATCATGTATTTTACTACTTTTGAGAAATATAAAGCTATCTTATGAGTTTATTCAAGAATGTGACATGTTATTTTTTTAAATAACTGCTTTCTCTCAATTAATATTATTGAACATCCTGAGAGCAGTTCAAAAAATAGCAGCCGAAAGGAATGGTCAAAGACAAATTTATCTTAACATAGTCTCTTGACAAAAGGAAGTATTTTAGTCAGTCTATATATTTCTGGCATTCTAAATTTAGAAGAGAATAGCAATCTGATTGCAATGCACATAAGATAAATTTCTATACAACAGTATTGGAAGTGAATTGAGTCATTAAAATCATTTCATTTATGACCTAGAGACTAAACCAAATATTTGTGACATTTATAAATATATATAGTTGTAGCTAGATATGAATATCTATCTTGTATGGTAATGATAAAAAGTACAAATGCAAAATTTCTTAACTTTGAGTCTTAATATACATTTGGTATTAATTTTCTAGTTTACTACTATTTATTTATCCAAGCTGAATTACTATTTCAGAATTACACTGTTATTTTTCAAGAAGATATGCATATTTTAAAATATACTTTGTTTTCATTTAATATTAGTCACTTATAATACCAAAGATCAATGTATTTATGTAGTGGGATAGAATTTGTGCAGTATTTAACTGGAGTGATATTTGAATTATTTTTTGTTAACTTTTAATTAAAAAGAAGATTAGTGCAGGTTAATGAGATACTTTTTCTAGCAAATTAAGGAAAATTTCTTAATCTTTTTTTTCTTTTTTTGAGCACAAAAGAAATATTTTCAGTTTCTTTTTAAATAACAGGAATAACCAATTATTAGTGTTTAAGCTATTTTATGTACAAGTGTATTTTAATGTTGACATTTTCTGAAATTTGCATTTATTTGATTTACCAAAAAGTTTTAAAACATGACTTTCCTACAATCAAAACTTGTTTCCCAGTTAAATAAAGTTTTAATAGTGAGAAAGTATGTTTTATTTACAATTAAGTTTTGCAGCAAGTTTCTGAAACTCATCATTTCAATAAGCAAATGAAAGCTACCTTTTATGAAGAGAAAATCTACAAACTTTGAGCAATATTCAAATATGTAATACAAGACATTAGAGTTTTCCATTATTTAATTCTATTTCAGATTGGTTTTCACATTGATATAATATAGTATAATCTATTCATGGTTTTATTTACAATAATAACAGTTTTTTTGGAAGCAAACACCTGAAACACTTTGCTACTTAAGTATGAAGTCTAAAGTACATCTCTATCAATATTATATCTAAATAAATCACAATGTGGAATTGAAGTGAATTCAGAGGATATATGTAGACTAGATAAGCGACACTCTCTGCCTGTGGGTGGTTAGAATTTTAGTATTTCAAAATAAGTTCTTAAACTGGTTGGGTGGTCAACAAGCTGACTCACATTGGAATCAATGCAAAATGGAAGGGAAAGAAGTAGGATTGTACTGAAAGAAAAGTCCTGACACTGAAACTGTGGCCATCTATGGATCTAGAATGATGCATCAGAATCATCTTCTTTGGGCCCAAAATATCTACACAGTTGCCCTGTGCCAAATTATTACTTAAGTATGTGCTCTTGTGAAAAGACTGGGATTTGGAAGAGCCAGCTCTCTACAGGAGATACATACCAGGAAAGAGATGAGAATGAATGGCACCTTTTTGAGACACTCCCAGCAGCACCCTCACTCCTTCTTTTAATAGAAATCCATGTTACATTGCAGTTACATCACAATACACCTGACTTGGTTTACTTATTGCCGTTAACAAAATACCATAGCTTGGATAAATAATAAATAATAGTTTATCTGAACTTTGTTTCTGGAGACTGGGAAGTCCAAGATTGAGGGGCCAAATCTGATGAGTCCCTTTTGGCCTTTTCATGACATGACATCAGGGATCAGTCCCAGGGGTCCAGGCACAGTGTAGCTGGGTCCTCTGGTCAGGGTTTCACATGGCTGCACTCCAGGTGCTGGCCAGGGTTCATTCTTATCTGTAAGAATAACCAAAGAAGAACTCAATTCCAAGCTCATTCATGTCATTGGCCATTACTTGTGGTGATATGACTAAGGGCCTCAGGTTTTATTTATTTGACTGGAGTTTCTTTATAGTTCAGAGTTCCTACAGGGTCACCAAAGTTCCTTGACAAGTAAGTTCTCCATTGAGGCTGTTCCTTCATCAAGCCCACAAGAGAAATCCCTAGTTCCTTTCTGCTAAGGGAGATTCTTACTTAGTGTAATATAATCTGAATGGCATCCTATCATTTTTGCCAATACTTTAATCTCATCATCAAACAAATATCCTATCACCTTTGTTGTATTCTGTTTGTAAGAAGCAAGCCAAATACGGCTCTCCCACTCAAGTGGAGCAGACTACACAAAAGGGTGAGTATCAGAATATGGGAATCCTTATAGGCCACAGAATAAGACAATTATTAATGTTTGCATTTTTACTGCTGTTTTTACAAATGTGTTTTCATGTTGAGGTTTCCTGAAAATTGCATTTATTTCATCTACCAAACGTTTTCAAAGTGTAACTTTTCCCAAAGAATATTTGATCACAAGTGGTCTGTTTGTCAGAGTGTATATGGGGAACTGATAATCAAAATTAAAATTCATGTTGTTTTTTGTGTTATTAGTAATAAATTCCTACATCTCTGACTCAAGGGCCTCTTGTTTTCTGTAAGCATCTGTGAACCAAGGGCAAGGTATTGGTTAGTTTGAAATTATAGTAAAAATCTCAGACCTTTTATAGTTCTTAATATAGTTTTTTTTCTCATCCTATATAATTATAAGCTACTGAGAATTTGGGTTTATATTAATGTGGTTAATTTTATTCCCTTTGTAGTAGAGTATTATCCAAAGAGGAAGTGATTTATGAACTATATAACACCTCCATCTCAACTATTACAGACACTTAGAAACTCTGTACTTCTAAAAAAAAAAAAAGCACAGTTGGAAACTGGAACTTCATATCACAATCCTTTCTTATGTAAGGCTTCAATCCATGGTTTTAATGTTTCAACCAATCCATCTGGACTACACTTGTATGCCAGTTTACTTAAATTGAATCTTTTAGACCCCTAGAGTACAACCAAAATGAATGCGGGAAAGGTAATATACCAGAACTCAGCCATGAAATTTATGGTCGGTGACCTGAATGGAACATAATCGCTTTTTTCTAAACTTGACAGATTCTCATATCATTTTTTTTAAAGTTTAACAATGTATAATATCCTACTAGAACCAATAAATACAACGTCAGGGTGGTTTTGAAATGCAGATTGCTTTGAAAATTGTGTTAAAATGGCTTATTTTCCCACAGACTACTTAGCGATATGAGTTCAAAGATCACTAGTTGAATAGCCCATAAAAGGTCCATTATGTCATTTTATATGCATCTCGCTGCCAAGCACTCAAGATCATAATAAGAAATTAAGTAGTTCAAAAGAAGACAAAGTTATGAAAGTTAAGTGGCGAGACAATACAATACTCTAGTAATAAAGAAGTCATTTCAACAGTTTATAAAGAGTTGACAGCTCTTTTCCAGCTTGATTTCAGCATAGTCTTGTCCTATTGCCAGAGTGACAGATATACTACATAGTTCACCCAGGTATGTTCTGTGTCCATAATTTAAAAGTCCTCCATTTCTCCCTTCTATATTTTCTTTCTAATTGCCTTGAAAGTTCTGACAAGAGCAGCCACTAATTATTTTTATACTACAATTAAAAAGACCAATTCTTTCCCTACCCTTTCTGTATTAAGCCCTTTGCTAGAGCTGTAGGGAAACAAGTGATTCTCCTGTAGACACTTTTTTATTTTTCTTCAACTTGTCAAATTCTCAATGAGAACTTGTGGGCACTACAACTAAGGTATTATTTCTCTTTACAAAAACTAAGCAAACAATTTTAGAATCCCCAGAAAAATTAAAAAAAAAATCTTTTTAAAAATTTTCATTAGCCATTCAAAATAATGAGTTTTCTGGTCACCAGTCTCATTCCCACTATACATCCCCCAATCATCTTTCCTTTCATTGTGGCTTTCCATCCTATAATTGTTAATTCTTAACAATATTTAGAGTGTAGAAATATCCTATTATTAACTCAAGAGAAACATAAGTTTTCAGTACCATGCTCACAGTGGCTAAGTTACAGTTCTACATTTTTTTGGTATATGTCTTAGTGTAAAATTTTATTAAAAACAATTTTACTACCAAAGGATTTGTGTGTCTGTTTAACAACTAACTATCTAAAAAGAAAGGAGGAAAGAAGAAAAGAAAGAAGGCAGGCAGGCAAGCAGACAAAATAAAATTTGAACACCATGATTTGTAATGTTTGCCAATATCCCTCTATGGAACTATTCCTATTATGTCCAATATCTAGCTAACATGATGATTTTGTTGGTGACAGTGTTGAAAAAAGGGGCACACAATATGTTCCTATGAGCTGATAGGGACCAGCTTCAGCATGCTGCTGAACCAGGTAAATGAGCTGCTACTATATTGCTCATAGTTTCATACTCTGATGGTATTATTTGCTGCTGTTACCTGTACCTTACTCACTCCTCTCTGTAATGCAGAAATTTGCTTTGTCTCTGCTTGATCAATTTTTCCTAGAGATACCCATGATCCAGCTGGAAGCTCTTGTCCAAGTGCCATATGAGATGCTTCCATAGTTACGAGTAAATGTTTCTCAAACAATACCCACCACATTGTATCAGGATTATTTACTAAGCCATTAGCCCAAATTATATCTCATCATTTTTTAAAAAAAATATAATATTTTTATTATAATAATAAAATGTACTTGAAGATATTTGTGGGATAAAGTGACAATTGGATTTATGAATACAATAGGGAATAATGTATTTGAGCTAATTATCATATCTATCACTTCAAATATTTATCATCTCTTGTGGTCAGAAGATTCAAGCTTCACTGTCTTAGCAGTAAAAATATATGTTATATTATTATTAACTATATTCAACATGCTGTAAAATAGACCTTAAAAAATGAAAATTCCACTTGTCTGAGGTTATATTCTATATCATCTTCCCATTCCCCTATCCCCAGTCTCTGGTTACCACCATTCTGTTTTCTATTGGTATTGGTTCAAATGTGTTAGATTCCATATAAAACTGAGAACATTAGGTACTTTTGTTTTCACTTCCTGGGTTATTTCATTTAACATAATATTCTACAATCTCCTCCACGTTGTCAAAATTGACAGAATTTGGCATGATTCATTTTAAATTTCACCAGAGCATATAAAAATGTAGGAAAATGTTTGCTTTTAAAACTCATAATTTACCATAATGAATTAATATTAAGACAGCTATTTAGATATTGATTTAAGATTAGGATGCTAGGTATACATTAAAGAGCACTGTGGTAAGAAATTAATAAAGTGATTAATGGATTAGGAAATTAGGGAGAGTATATAGAATTTTTAAAAAATAATATGAACAATATCTTGCTTAAAGAAGTCAAACTGTGAATTTTTTTTTGGGGGGGGGACCAATATTGAACTCAGGGCCACTCAACTCCAGAGCCATATCCTCAGCCCTGTTTTGCATTTTTATTTTATTTAGAGACTGGGTCTCACTGAGTTGCTTAGAGCCTCCCATTGCCGAGTCCGACTTTGAACTTGTGATTCTCCTGCTTCAGCCTCCTGAGCTGCTGGAATTACAGGCATGCGCCACCATGCCCAGCCAATTGTGAATAGTTTAGGAGGAAAATTACTAGTTAGTTTTATAAATACTATGATCATATTTTATTCCCATTAATCACATCTATAATTACACATCTTTCATTTCAAATTTTAAGACATGAACTTGAGATCAAGAGGGAATTAACTCCCTATGTCATTTTCCTCAAAGTTACAATAGCTAGTCAATACTAAAGACTAAATGTAAAATTACACAAAGTGTTTAAGAAAAAAATGCCATTATTGAATATAATTTTATAGTAAAATCATTACAGAATATCTATTTTGTAGCTTTCTCCTTATCTAAAATATCTATATTTTCCTATACAATGTAATATTGTAAATGTTTCCTATTAATAAATTCCATCTTATTAATGAAAACATTAGCTCAATGGAGACTTATGTTTGATAAATTTAATCAAGAAATTTTGAAAATTAATTTCTGTCCAGTACCATAGGCACCATGGAACTATTCTATAAAGCAACAGACTGATCTGTCCCAAACCCCAGGTACAATGACTGCTATCCTACCATTCCCAATGGGAACCATGAAGAGGTAACTGAGGAATGTCTCAAATGCGCTTTCTCCTTTCAAGAAATGCCAACATAGAATAGGAATTAGGAATGAGCTGCGTGTAGGAGAAGAGGACTTTTGAAAGTACAAACACCTTTTACTTTATGCTTATGTCTCCTGCCTCTATTTTTGTGCTTTCCAATGTGAACTGTTAAGTCCAGAAGTCATAAAATGAGAGATCTAGAAAGAAATTCTGACTTAAATTCTTCATTTGACTGATTATTAAGGGTTTTCAAAAGTAGAAAAAAACTATATCTAATTTCATAACCAATTTAATGCTACATCCAGAGTAAAATCTATGTAAAATATTATAATTAAATTTTATTCCTACTAATCACATCCATTATTCATTATCTTATATTGTCCCACTTTTTATTTTATCATCAGTTTGAAATTTTTCAAAAATTTCTTTTTTTTCTTTTTGGTGGTGGGGGTGGTTACCTGGGATTGAACTCATGGGCACTGGACCACTGAGCCACATCCCCAAGACTATTTCGTATTTTATTTAGACAAAGGGTCTCACTGAGTTGCTTAGAACCTCACTTTTGCTGAGGCTGGTTTTGCACTCAAGATCCTCCTGTCTCAGCCTCCTGAGCTGCTGGGATTACACAGAAATCCCACTTACTAATTGTTCTACAACTTGGTCAAGTCACTTTTCTCTCTGTGTATCCTCTTGTAAACAACTTAAAAATGAAGGAGCATGCCTTCCAGCAGTCACATTGTATCTCTCTCTCTCTTTTTTTATGTTTCTCTAATCATTAATTGCCAAAAATTAAGAGAAAGTTTTAATTGAAAACTTTCAGAATCTTATAGAGTATATTAATACAACTTTGGAATTATTTTCCTGTCTCTGGTGGATCGCAAATGCCAAATTGTAGATAGCTAAGAAATTTCTTTCTAGAAGTCAGGCCACTGTATGGTATCTGTAGTAGAATTGAAAACTGCTTGCAAATCTATCTTCTTTTTCTTTATGGCACATAACCGGAATTCATATCCCAACCCCCTTTGAATTTTGGAATGATTCTGTCAATCAATTGTGAACCGAAAGAACAGCTGTCACTTTTTGCTTCCTCCCTGTGATTCTTCAGGCTTTTCCTTGATGCATAAGACTGATATTTTGTAGAGATTATAAGAAACAAAGGAACTAGTACAATAACATGGAGGGATAACCATAAGTAGAAACATATACTTATAAAACAGTCATTTTGTAGACCTTCACATTAACAAAAACTAAATATCTATTTTGTTGGAGTACTGCATTTTCCATATATTTCTATTAAAGAAGGGACCATTGAGGATAATATTTTAACCAGTATTTTAGGTTTCTTAAAATTTCTGATATTCTAGTAGCTGGATGTCTATAACAAGTACATAAACAGTCTGTTAAAATATTAGCAAAGGCATATTCCTACTTCTATACATCAGATATTACACTTAATTCCAAGTAAGTATTGCTCAAAAATATTGCTAATTTATCATTTTAATTGAAATTCCTTTTCAAGTTGTCAAAGAATTTGGTCATTTTAATTAATCACATTTTTCTTTCCTTTAGGAAAATTGCATATTTCCTTTTCCCTCAATATTTTCATTCACATCCTGAGAGATTAGAAATCCCCAAAGGCATCCTTAGTAGAGCTTATTTTTTAATTTCAAATAGATTAAAATATGAACACATTTAAAGAAGTTAAGAAAATTTTTTCTTTCCCATAACACATTCATATATAGAAAAGATTAACATATATAAAGCTGTGATAAACATTAAATGTCTGTTTTTTATTTATAAAATGCACACATAGTACAAGTGAGAATATAAATACTTAACAAGTAGATTATATAATTATGTAAACCATATATTCTTTTTTCTCCTTGTTTTTATAATTTGTGCATAAAAAATAGTAAAAAAAATAATGTTATCTAGAAAACCAAGCCTAAGAACACAAAGGTATTGAATCCAATAAAAATTTATACAACTCATATAAATAATTTATAGGTTAAATATTCAATTGTATAAATCTGTGATGTTTCCTATATTAGAATGCTAATTTTCCAGAGACTACTTAGAAGACCAAACTAGGTAGGTCTAAGTAGTAACTCATAAAAAGTGCTTTAAATAACAGGCATTAAAGATATTTTAGAAGAGTAAAGTGAGAAATATATGATATTATAGATACCTTCAGATTTTATATTTGTTTTTTCATTATATAAGAAAAGTAAAGTAGTGGAAGTTACAGAAGGGCAGTATTAGAATGCTAGCAGAACTTCTTATCAGCTAAATAACCATTTACTAGCAAACATTATAATAAAATAACAATTTGAAATCTCTGCACAGTTTTCTAACAACATATAGTAATGTATAATATTGCACTCAGGTAAATCTAACAAATCTCAATGAGAATAATGTAAATCTATTGTATTTGAGCTATGATTATGATGGAAGCATTACTCTGAGTAGAAATCTATCAAAGTATAATGAAGCAGAATCTATCAAGAAAATGTGACTCTCGTTCCTCTAGGTCCAAGTCTAGGGCTACAATTTCTCACTAGCCAGGGCAAAGCAATGTAACTCTTTCTTCAGCTTTATACTGTGAAATCTAGGTTCCAGGAAAGTGCAAATGAGAGGAATGCAGTTTTCTATTACTATATTTCTAGTGTAGGGTAAGCAAACGATCATGGGTTGGAGCTAATCCACCCAACTTCCCAAATAATAATGCAAATAATATGAGTAAAAACATTACCAACAATATCTGAAAAATGAAGTAAAATTAAGTGTCTAGCATTACTATAAGGTATTATCTAACAACACCAAAAGGTCTAAGGGTAGTTGAAAGTATAAATATCATGACATTCTAAAATGCATAACAAAATATATTTATTTTTAACAAAAATGAAAGAGACATGCAAAGAATCATGAAATGGTGATCCATACACAGGAATAAAAGCATAGGCTATATTATTTTCACTTGAGGGAACCTAATTATGGTTTTTAGCAGGCAATATCTACCAAGTATATATATTTAAACCCTACCTAATACTGTCTCAAGAGTTAAAGAAATATGTGATGACAATGTATCATCAAAAAGAAAATTAATTTTAAAAAGTTATTAAAAGAAAAAAATGAAAATCTAGAGATGAAAAAAGTACTTTACCTGAACTGAAAAATTTACTACAGTTGCACAACACAAGATTTGAACCTGCAGAAAAAACAAAATTATGTAAAGCAAGTTTAATTTTTCCTGATTACCACCTATCTGTATCCAATGAAACAGAATACACTTAGTTCATCAAACCATATAAAAACAGATTTATTACCAACAAGTAAATAGGTATCAAAATACCAAAAAAAAAAAAAGAGTGGAATCAATCAATTGTGAACCTGTCCCTAATGGCTGAAGAAATCTGCCCAGGTTGGATAAAATCTTGACTAGATATGCCCCATGTAATGGCTAATTTGAATTGTTAATTTGATTGGATTAAGAGCTGCAGAGGATTGAGAAGATTATGGGTGTGTTTATGAGGGTGTGTTTGGAATGATTGGCATGTGAAATGCCCAACTGAAATGGAGACCCTCCCTAAGTATGGGCAGCACTGACCAATAGGATATGACTTGTATGAAATAAAAGTTGGAAGTACAAAGAAACAGCACTAGATGCAAGGGGTTCTTGATTGCTACTGCAATCCTCTGAAAATATCGGATTTTCACTTCTTCACTCTTCCAAAGTAGATTCTGACAGTGATTTTCAAGAAAGCTTAGATCTCAGCCTAGGGTAGCATCATTCATCTTCCTTGTTCTGAAGCTTCAGCCTCTTGGACTCTTCAGCTACTGATTCTCCATTTTCTCCAGCCTGTAAATGGTCATTTCAGACTATCCAGCTTGTGGTTGCCTAAACCAACCTAATAAGTCCCCTTTATTTAATTATACTTCCTGTTAATTCTGTTCCTCTAGAGAACATGACTAATACACCCCATTTGTACCATAGGACCCTAAAAGGTAAGATCCAAAACTATATAGCACATGAGCCATGTGACTCACTGGTAACAGTTTTGAAGAACATCCTTCTTCCAGTAGAGTGGAACAAAGTCCACTCTATTTCTGGATATCCCAGGAAATTCCTTTCTGCTTCAAGATATAACATTCCTTAGGAGGGGCAGGAATAAAGCCTACGTTGCTTCCCACAGTTCTTACTTATCTCAGGACATTGCATTCTCAGTTCATTCAATAGTTATTTCAGATATTTTCAAACAATGAAAGAGATGAGAAGAGGACTGGGCAAGACAGTCCAGGGAATTATTTTGCATATTAATGAACTTGAGGATATATCAATAGTAACAATAAATCAAAGAATAAAGAAAGAAAAGAATGAAGAAAACAAATATAGTTACAAAGAAATGTAGAAAACTTTAATGTGTGGATATGCCAGAAGGACAGAAGAGAGAAAAATGTTGTAAAAAATCATTAGAGGAAAGAGAATAGGGGTAGAAAGAAGGGGAGGAAAAGGGGAAGTACTGGAGACTGGATCAGAGCAAACTATATTTCATTATTTTATAATTATGTCAAAATCAACTGTAGTATTATATATAACTAAAGAGAATAAGAAGTTTGTAAAAGGGGGCTGCAGTGGTAGAATGCTTGCTTAGCATGTATAAGGCATTGGGTTTGATGCTCAGTACCACATAAAAATGAATGAATAAAATAAAGATATTGGGTTCATCTATAACTACAACAACAAAAAAAAATGGGGCTGGGATGTAGCTCCATGGCAATGTGTTTGTTTCACATTTGCAAAGCCCTGGATTTGATCCTCAGTTTAAAAAAAAAAAGGAAATAATAAAATAATAGGAAATTATTTGAAGAAATGACTGAATTGTCTCTGAAACTGATGAAAAGATTAAAAGATTAAAATTTTACTTCTCAGGTGCTGGGTTAACTCTAAGTTGAATAAATGTAGAGATGAATCCCAGATATATCCTAATAAAAATATTGATAAAAAGAAAAATTAAAAAAGGAAATCTTAAAAGAAGCAAGAGAAAACAACCCTTCATTTACAATGGAGACCCAACAAGATTAAGGGATGCCCTCTCCTCTGGAAAAAAAAGAGATCAGAAGTCAAAAATGCTACCTCCAGGAAAAGGATATTTTGAAAGTGAAGGTAAAATGAAGACACTTCCAAAAGCTTAAAGAGAATTCCTTGCTAGAAGACTCACTTTACAAAAATACTGAAAGAATTTCTTCAAGCAGAAAGCAAGAAAACAGAAATTCAAATCCACATTGGAAAAACAGAAAACATCATTAAAGTTAATCATATGTAATTGTATAGAAGACAGTATAAATGTGCATTACTATGGCTTCATTCTCTTAACTCATTAAAAAGTAATTGTATAAAACAATATCTATATTATTATATTATTGTGCTATAACACAGAAATGTGATGCATTTAGCACTAAGAGCTCAAAGAATGCTCATAAAAATAAAACTGTTTTGAGTTAAGGAAATGATACCAGATGGTAACTAAATCCTCAGGAAGAAAGGAAGAAAGATATAAATGGAAAATAATTAGTTTAATATGAGACAATATAAATAAAAACTTGTTTTCCTGTCTTCTCTCAGCTTCATTAAAAGGCATGAACTTATAAAAATGAATATCTAATGCAAAGTATTGATAGGTTTACAAAATACATCAACATACATATATGTATGTATACCCTGGAACACACATAAATGATATAACTCAAAATGCTATAGTAAACATTAATAAAAAAATTAATATGTTACATTAGAAAATATTCACTTAGTGAAAAGAAAGAGAAAAGGGGTTGCTAGAATAAATATAATACAAATACAAAGCAGAAAGTAAAATAAAAGATACAATTTCAATAATAAAATGACAGATGTAATGTCAATAATAATAAAATTAAAGGTGAATGGAAAAAAGCAAACAGATTGTAAATACAAAGATTGTCTAACTGGATTGAAAACGAAAAACCAACCATATACTGGACAGATGAGATACACTTATACACACAGAGTTAGACTAGAAGTGAATGGATGAAAGGAAACAGCAAAATGTTAATTCATGCAAACAGCAATCATACAGAAGGCTGTACTCATTATTATCAGGTGAATAAAAATGAACACATAGCATGTCCGCACTCATGAAAGTCACAAAAATCAGTTATTAGAGGGAAATTTATAGCTGTGTTCACAAATCTGCTATGGTTTGAACATGTCTTACAAGGCTCTAAGTATTGAAATTTTATCTCCATTTGTGAAGTGATAAAAGTGTGGAAACTTTATCTGACTTTTTTTTCTTTAACTTTTTAGTTGTAGATAGACACAATAGCTTCATTTATTTTTATGTGGTGCTGAGGATAGAACCCAGTGCCTCACATGTGCTAGGCAAGCTCTCTACCACTGAGCCACAACCCTATCCTGAATCATATAGCTATTTTATTTGGAGTTGGAAACTTTGGGTGATGATTCAAGTGAGATAATATCATTTGAGTGGAGCCCTTGATTCAATGCTGGTGGCTTTGTAAGCCAAAATAAATATTCCAGTCTGTGGTTGGTATTGTATTACTACAAAAAGAAAAAAAATCAGACTAATACAATACATATGCTAAAATGTCCAATCAATATCAATCTTACATCTTAACACATGGGAAAGAAGTAACAATCAAAACTTAAAATAAGCAGAAAATGGAAATATTAGAGAATATGATAGAAATGAATATAATAGATAACTGGAAAATAATCAATAAAACTCAGTGAATGCAAAGTCTGCTTTTTTGAAAATATCAATAAAATTAGCTAACTTTTCACTAAATTAAAAAAGGGGAAAAGACGTCAACAATTAAAATTAGAAATAAAAGAGGAAACAATATCATGTAGACTTTTCAGAAATAAAAATGATTAAAAGAAATATTGAGCATTTTGCCTGTAAGTAAATTAGGTAACTTTGGTTAAATGTGTAAATTCCAGGAAGACACAAGCTACTGGAATTGTCTCAATTAAAAGGGATAAGCCTAAGTAGATGTATTAAAGATTAGGAGAATAAAGGAAACAAACTCATGATCACTTCAATAGGTGCAGAAAATCATTTTGTAATCTAATTACATAGCAAAATATAAATAATTTCTTTGAAGTAGAAATGGGATGATTTCTTTGATAAAAGTAATCAGCAAAAAAAAAAGGTGGTTATCATAATACTCAATGGTGAAAGATCGAATGCTTTCCTCAAAAGTTCCCATTTGCAGAAAACTTTCGATCTTTGCGGAAATCATGATGAAATATTTTTACAAGGCTAATAGAAACACTAAGAGAATTATAAAATATGTTGGATACAAGAGTAATATAGAAATATAAGTGATATTTACTTTTTAAAATTTATTTATTTTTAAATTTTGATTTGTTATATATAGCAACAGAATACATTACATAAATGAAAGGCATTTCTGTATATCAGTGACAAATCCTCTGAAAGGGAAACAAGGAAAACTACCCCATTTGCAATAGCATCAAAAAAATAAATAAAAATAAAATAAAATACTTGGGAATCAATGAAAGAGGTGAAAGGACTCTACAATGTGAACTAAAGATTGCTAAAGAAAGAAATTAAAGAAGATCTTAGAAGATAAAAGATCTATCTTGTTCTTGGATAGGCAGAATTAATATTTTTTTTCATTCTCATGTTTCTTCAAGTTTGTTGAATACCTACAACATCCCAAGCATTGCAGAGCATTAAGGATGCATTGGCCAAGACCAAAAAAAAAGGAGCTGTACCTTCGTGAAGCTCAAATATTACAATAGACAACAAAGCATTTTATACGGATTTAAAGCATTAGTCCTTTTTCAAAGATTTTTGCATGAGATTAGAACTAGGAAATGTTTGCAGAGTGACCAAGAGGGAGTGGTGACTGATTTCATACACCCTGTTGGCAGGGGTGACCTTTGAGCAGACATCTGAAGAAAAGCAAGTGGATGAGGTGTGCAGGTATCTGGAGTCAGAGCATCCTCCAGCAGGGAACAGCGAGCACCAGGCTCCTTGGGCTGGCTCCTCTGCATTCTGCTGATTCTCCTGGGTTCCTCTCCTGCCAGTTCACGTGTCCTCCAAGCCTACCAGGGCCACATTCAGAACCCTGCGAGCCTCTGGGGTCACCATCTTCTTTGGCATTTCTTGGTTCAACTGCAACCTC